TCCCCAAGGGGGCCCATACGTTCCGGCGTTCGGCCCGTCCCGAACGTCGGTTACCCTGTATATATATATATACCTGATGAGTCGGTGAAACTCCGACGAAACAGTTTGTCACAGCCCCTCGTTTGTTGTCCTCTTCTCTCTCTCTGCCTACGGTTTGCCGGGCAGTTCTATTTGTGACGATATAAATATGAGAATATTCAATTTTCTGATATGACTCGATTTGTCGGTGTGAGGGGGGGACCATTTTGGCAAATGATGTCTCTCCTGGAGTTGCTTGTGTACCGGATTGAGATGGCAGACTGTTATGCAGCCGAAAAACAATCACTGCTTGGCAGAGGGTTCCAGCAACTTTCCGGATACTTTTTATTCAGGTGGTGAGAGTTCAATGTCACAATGCACCCTGAGGGTGAAGGGCTATAGAAGCCTATCTTTTCTGGTTTTAGGCAGGCATGAAGGGGGTACATCAAAAACCAAAAAAAAAAAGAAAAAAAAGAAGGGGTTGCATTGTGTTTCGGGGGCAGACTAAAGTTGACCATGACCAGGCTCAGAGGAATGGTGTGGAGAGGGACCTCAATGCTTGTTCCTCTCGCTTTTGTGAGCTCGGATAGTCACGTCCTCTGTTGGAGTCTGTCTGCCATTCTACAAAAGAAATAGGATTATTGCTATTTGGAAGCAGTCGCCTTCTCTGACTCACTCGTCCATATGCTCATGCCAAAATATTGAAACGCCGTGAGGATTGTTTGTGGACGAGGAACACTGTTGAATAACTCTACGTTTTCTTTGAAAATTCTCTCTTTGTCCTGTGGGATTTGTGTTGCAGCCTCGTTCAGTGCAGAACACAGTCATGGAGCTGAGGAATATCTGTAATCATCCATATCTAAGTCGACTGCATGCTGAGGAGGTCAGTTTGCTTTCTATGCTCTGAGGCGTTGATTTGGTCGGTTGGTTTTGGGGTACAATCATACTAGGTCAGTTTGCTTTCTATGCTCTGAGGCGTTGATTTGGTCGGTTGGTTTTGGGGTACAATCATACTACAATGTACTATCAGGACATCATCTCTTTTTTTTCAGTTTCTGAACTTTCCTTCCTTTGTTTTCCCCCCCGCTTTTCTTTCAGTATCTGCCATCAGTAAAGTCTAGTCTCAGGACTCTCAACTATTACTTGTGGTATGCCATTGGACCAGGCTCCAGGTTCGTGCTGCTTGTGTGCCACCGTAAGAGCACAGCAGGGTGTGTGCCTTGGTGCAATCGTCGTGCAGCAGTATGTGTTTCTAGGGGCAACACTCTTCCATAAACAAGTTGGATATTTCTTCTTTTTTTTTTTGGTGAGTAGCTAGGGAGATATCTCGGGCGCCCGGGTCCCGATGTCACGCCCAGTTTGGCAACCGGGTGACCAGCCGGGCATGACCCCCGGGCAGCCCCAGCGCAAAAAAAGAAACAAAAAACAAAAAAAACAAAAACAAATCCAAAAAAATCTGGAAAAAAAAAAAATGTTGTGTAGAATTGCAATACAAACAACTTTTGGCTGAGGGTCACATCAGAATTCCTCACGGAACTAAAGATAAAAAAGAAAATAACCAAATCACATTAAGGCACCCCCGTTTAAACTTTAAACCTAGGTTACCAATGGTCCGGGGGCCGGTCGTCTCCCCCGGACGTCTCCCCCATACGTCCGGTACCCCCGTCGTCCGGGAAAAAAAGTTTTTTTTTTTGGTAAAAAATATATATATATTTTTCGGTTTTCGATTTTTAACTCATGACTGACTGCGAATTTGAACATGACTCCAAGGCAAAAGTTGCTTGTATTGTTATGTTACATAACATATATTTTTTTCAGATTTTTCTGAGAACTTTTTTTTTTTTTTTGCGCTAGGTCGGACAACCCCTGTCCGGTCGGACATCCGACCAGACGTCCGGTCCCCTTTCCCCCCCTTTGACAGCCAACAGTCAGAAAAAGAAAAGAGCCCAGATTTGGGCTCCTCTCGGAGAGCGCGGAAAAACCCCACAGTCAAATTTATTTTATTTTTTTTATTTTTTTTTGCCATGACCGCGTGACCCGGCCGGTCATTAAAATCTTCCTAGGTGAGTAGTACTTTCGGTGAGTACAGCAGGGTGCGCCTTGGTGCAATCATCGTGCAGCAGTATGTGCTACCAGGGGCGACACTCTTCCGTAAACAAGTTGGATATTTCTTTTCTTTTTGGTGAGTGCAGCAGGGTGCGCCTCCGAGCAACTGCCGTGCAGCAGTATGTGCTGTTAGGGGCAACACTCTTCCGTAAACAAGTTGTTTTTGGTGAGTGCAGCAGGGTGTGCCTTGGTGCCATCGTCGTCCAGCTACTAGGGGCAACACTTTTCCGTGAACAAGTTGGATATTTCTCTTCTTTTTTTGCTGAGTGCTGCTAGGGGCGACATTTTTCCGTGAACATGTTGGATTTTTTTTTTCTCTCCGGTGAGTACAGCAGGGTGCACCTCGGTGCCATCGTCGTTCAGCGCTATGTGCAGCTAGGGGCAACACTTTTCCTAGTTTTCCTTGAACAAGTTGGTTTTTTTTTTTTTGTTTTCCCGGTGAGTACGGTAGGGTGCACCTCGGTGCCATCGTCGTTCAGCAGTATGTGCTGCTAGGGGCAACACTTTTCCGTAAACAAGTTGGATATTCCTTTTCTTTGGTGGTCAGAACGGTCTGCTCATTACCTGGTTTTGATTTAAATCAAGGGTTTTGCTGTTCACCGAGTCGCTACGTGACCCGGAGTAGTTTTCCCCACTCTCTGTAACGATAACTAATCAGTTAAATTGAGTGTTTGGAATGAAAATAGGGGTATAGAGGGGTAGGGGAGGCAGTGCACGGTCGAGTAGGGGATCATGACATGCTATTGTGTGAGAGTAGAACGAACAAGGTTGCCGCTGCCTAGTTCGAAAGATGGTGTGGTTGACGAGCGATCGGATATAATAACTAATTACCAAAGAAAAAAAAACGATGTTGTGGTTGAAGTGGAGGGAGGCAGACAGCATCCAAGGGTGTGCGGGTGGTTGGCGGAATATGAATCTGTACCCGTACTCTTGTACCTCTGCTAGTGTAATGAACGCAACTCCAAGGCTCTCTCACCATCAACACCGTCAGAGCTTGTCGAAATGAACAAGGTTCCCAAGTCCATGACAGTCGCAAAGAGGAACCGAAGTATAACCAGCGTCAAGACAGAGGAAGAACAAGAAGAGGAGGAAGAGAAAAATAAGGACCTGCTGAGCCCTATTTTCGAGAGATGGTTAACTCTGGGCCGAATATTTGCCGTTTTCGCTGGCAATTTCGGTGCAAAATTCAGGTAAATTTTCAAGAGAATAAAAAACTATATGGTCCCATAGTGCAAACTAAAAAACAAAAAAAAGAGGCGCAAAAAAAAACGAACGAAAAAACCGAAATTTTTTCAAAAAAACACTATAAAACAGGGCTGGTCCCTGGTTGGACCGGGGGTCCCTCCCCGACCGGGAGCCTGCCGGTCGGACCGGACGGTTGAACGGCCCGGCAGGCCCCGGTCAAACCCAGCGCATCATGCTGGGGGGGGTGGTATGGGGGATCCACGGGCGTCCCCGCAATTGCCGAGTTCCCGGGAGGCTACTCCCTCCTTAAAAAAAACAACTAACGGGGCCTTTTGGACCCCACTTCCACATGTTTACTTCAAGACGCGGGGACCAACAAGCCCCAGTTTATCAATTCGAAATCGGAGCCGATTTTAGCCTCTGATCTGCACATCAGCGGCCAAAATCGGCCATATTTTCAAGAAGCGGTAATGTGACCATTTCACATTGGCATGGTGCGATCTGATAGACCACGGCCTTGCTGTAATAGACAGGAGTTCGTCCTCGTCCACTGAGAGACAGGAGGATGGAAACATCATGCTTCAGCAGAGGCTTTGCTGGGTTTATATGCTTCTCAAACATCCCTGCGTTGTGGGGAGAAGTTATGGATTTAGGTTTCCGCTCGTGAAATCAGAGTAGCAGTCCGTGGTGCAAGCCGAAGAATGGACCTCGCTCCACTACATTATCTGGACAGCTCACCAGGCAAGATACTTTTGGACTGATGAACCACCGTATATAGGAAAGAACAAACGGGAAGCTCTCTGCCTGCACGAGCTGAAACCTGAACCCATAATGTTTTGCTTTAGAGCGCAATATCATGAAGAGCTTAAGTTTGGGCAAGCACCGTCCAGCAGCATATGTAAATTCGGCCTCTTGCGTGCCAACGTCTGAGGGCACAGGCCGTGATGCACTATGGGGCTGAATTTAAATTTTAAATGCCACGGGGGGTCAGACGAGTAAAGCAGTTTACTGATGGAATGTATGCCTCACTGAGTTTCCCGCTTGTTGCCAAGTTTACTGATGGAAGCTTTGAGGCAGGGTCAGGCATGGCGGCCTGAGCTAGAGCAGCCATAGCTGCTTTGGGTTGTCCTTTGCACAGCGGGGCGATGCCCTGGTAGTCCGCCATAGCCTCGGCCTTGCAGGGAGGAAGAAGGGCGGCCATGGCTATGGTGGACCTCATGTGATACCTGCAGTAGAAAAGGGATTCGGACATTGATTCTGTTTCAGCCACTCAACATTATTAATATTATTATTTCTTGATTGAATAAGAGGGGAGGAGAGTGGTTGGCGGAGAAGAAAAGCATTTTCATTGGTCTATGCTGGTGTACATCATCTTCTTCTT